TTATATTCTTCTGTCTAACTTGTATTCCAGACAGATGTTGTATTATTATTGTACTCCTTAGTATATGCTCATGCACTTGTGACACCAGATTTTGGGAAANTTACGATCCGCATCATACAGAGTCTCCATCAGAGTTATTTATATTCTTCTGTCTAACTTGTATTCCAGACAGATGTTGTATTATTATTGTACTCCTTAGTATATGCTCATGCACTTGTGACACCAGATTTTGGGAAATTCCTACTGGATGTTCATTATTGTAGTTCACGTAATTATTATCATTTCACCTTGTAATTTATATTTTATACGGAAATTTCAAAAATAAAATCACGGGTTTTTTACGAGTACCAGAATTTACTCTACTTATTTAATGGGATTCATGATTTCGAAAATAATAAATGAGTAACTAAGTTGATTAATCACCGTTGGCTTGCCTGACGGCAGCGTTAGGCGCCATCACGACCTATAGTAGATAGTGGGGTCGTGACAGCTTACTAAGAACGTTGACCGTGGTCAATCAAGTTGTTTTTAAAGTCAAAAATTATATTTTCTTTAAAATTTTACGTAAAACTTTTCGTAAAACTATCCGGACCACGCACGCAAGTCATATAACATCTAATGAAGCTATGAGAGGTCTCGAAACACGAAAATAAGGGCTAGCACTTACAATTTTATTTTTCGATCAATAATTTGCTTAGATATAAATATTAATATAAATTTTAAAACATAATTAGAAAAAATAGTTATGAAAATATTTAACAATATCAAGAGAAAGAAAAGTAATTGACAAAAGTCATTTACTAACATTACGACAAACAATGCAAAAGTTCGATTTTTTTCATTTGACAAAAAACTTTTTTCGGATAAAAATATAATTATAATTAAATATTTAATATATGATATGAGCTAATATTAAAAATTTGAATCCTCAAAAAATAAATTACTTCTTTTAGTGATTAAAAAAGATAACTAAATATTTGAATTAAAGAAAATCAGAATATAAAACAAAATCAATTATAGTAGTAAGAATTAAATTGGCTAAAATGCAAAGTTTAAGAAATAAGGATGAAATAGTAGAAGACAAAATATATTCATAAAGAGATGTCAGGTGATACACAATTTAACATATTTGTATATCATATTATAAAATATGTATACTTACAAAATAATATACAACTAATTCAACTAAATTCATCATCTATGCACATTCAGAAGATATTGAATACAATTACCATGTTAGTATGAGAAAAATTATTTTTATTATTTAAATAAATATTATATTTTATTTTAATGTCAATGTATATATTTTAAATTGATAGACACTATACACACGTGCAACTAGGGGTGTCAATGGTTCGGTTCGGCCGGTTATTTTATAAAATTTGTACCATACTTATTTTTCGATTTTTCACTTTATATAACCAAAACTGGAATTTTCGGAACTGTCCCAATCATCTCAGTTTCTCTTCGGTATCGGTACGGTTCGGTTTAATTTTTTGGTATTTGTTTTTTAGAACGTCATGTAACAATCGCTAGTACAAGTTAGGATGCGATAAATGTGTACTTGCATAAGATTTTGGCAAAACTCTCTAGATATTTTTACTATTTAAAAAAGTGATGAATCAAGATGTCCATAATAAAAATTCATCCCAGTATTCTATGGTAGTATAAAATAAATTAAGCAAAAAATAAGAGAATATAAGTTACACGAGTGGAAAGATACTAATCAAGTTGGGACTCAAGATTAGAGTTTATTAGAAGATTAGCATCTAATAAGAGAAATCTAAATCACACGAGAGGAAAGATATTCAATACCTTGTGGCTTGCTACTCAAGATGTTAGAACTACTTTAATTTCAATAAGAGTAGCAGAACAGATTTAAAAGTTGGGACTTTTGGTTGTTAATTACTTGGTCACTTACGACCCTATTATTCAGTACAGTTATAAATTATATAAAAACCTATAATTTTATTGAAAGAAACCTAATAATCAGTTCGGTACGGCTCGATCAGTTTAATCGGGTTTTGAAGATCCATTGACACCCCTACATGCAACGCACGTATACTAAAACTAGTATCCTAAAATCCAACCAAATATTTTATAAAATAATGTTGGGTAAAAATTGTATCTCCTGAAAATCAAACCAACCAACTCCTATAAAAGGGTCCATTTTTAGGGTTATACGCGACATAATAATCTCTATGTTGAATCATCATAAGTCTATATTGTTTGGTTAGAATTTAACGAGATTAAATCTCCATATTGAAATCGGTATTAATTAAGACAATGTTTGGTCTCTTCTTTTTGTTTTCATCATAAATATATTTTGTATTATTTTAAACGTGATAAAATCTAGAATAAAAATACGGATAGTAATACTTGCACTGAAATTCTAAAATGACCAAACTAACTCTCATATTAGTAACAAATTTTCATCAAGAGTGATTATATAAAGGTTCCTTAGAAGAGGCCAGTTTTGCAATAACCTTGGAGTGCCAAAATGGATATTTATGCTTAGGCTAACTGCTCATAAAAGATTATATACAAGGGATAGACTGTCTTATTAAGGCATGAATTTGAATTAGACATGTCCACTTTGTAATCAACAAGATGAGAGCATTGCACGCTTGCCTTTTCAATATGCAGTAGCTGCGACAATCTGAGGAAAAAAAAATATTATTTTGGCAGGGTATTTAGAGAAAAGCAATATGTTGGAATGTAGAGGTAGCTTTGGCTATGACATACTTCAATGGAAAGAACTTCAAGGTCGAAAACTATAGGATTGTGCTAATATTGTTAATGCAGAAGCAGAAGTGCCCTACCATTATTGCAAAGTTGATTGTACATGAGTCGACAAGAGTGGGTTGCTTTAGTGGTAAGCACCCTCCACTTCCAACCAAGAGGTTGTGAATTCGAGTCACCCCAAAAGCAAGATGGGGAGTTCTTGGAGGGAGGGAGCCGAGGGTCTATCGGAAACAGCCTCTCTACCCCAGGGTAGGGGTAAGGTCTGCGTACAAACTACCCTCCCCAGACCCCACTAATGAGATTATACTGGGTTGTTGTTGTTGTTGTTGTTGTATTGTACATGAGTCAAGAGGTTTTCTATAGACTAAGAACCTGCAATATTACAATTTTTACCCTTGGGTAACTAGAATCTGGAGCTAAGTTGATGTTTGGTGGTACATTGGAAATTAGGGCCTTTTATCCAGTTACTATTTTCTCTTGTATTTTTTATTTACAGAAAAAAAAAAAGGTAACAATATTTTTATTTTGTTTTAAAAGTAAAAAATAATTTTAAATTATACATATTACTAATATATTAATTATAATATATCAAACTAAATATTTAATAAGAAATAATCCTTGCATAATTAAAATCTACTAATTTGTACACTACAATACCTATTATTACTAATACCCATATAACTAATGTCTGCATTACTTATCTCTAAACCAAACCAAATAATTAATCCCTATATCCTTTGGTATGAGGTATTGGGAAAATAATCCATGTATAGAATTTAATTTAACTTTATTCTATGTTTGGTAGGCTTTTTAACTCCGGATTAGTTAATAGATGTAATGACTTATATCATAATTCAATATAACTATAGATAGGATAAAATACTTGAAAAGAAATTAATGCATATTCTTCTTCTTCTCTAACTCTTCAAAAATATACTCGACAGCCTGAAGCAAAACTAACAACTTGTTCCTGTATTCATCATTTTCCTCTGGCCAAAACAACGAATTTTAGCTTGCTAAATAGAAAACTAAAGCCAGTGGTTTAATCGAAAATTTCACAAGAAAAGAGCTTTTATTCCTGCTGTAGGATATGTACGTTTTCTTGCTTCAATTTCAGCCGGCCCCGGTAGATGATTTCATTACCTTTGACAACCCAGCAAAAATTTCACTCATTCATCAAAGCATTGGATTAAAAAGCTTTAGAGAGAGAGAGAGAGAGAGCACAATGTTATCAACAATGCCCAGGGCATAATTGTAAGGAAATTTTTATACAATTTAGAACCAAACAGATTATACATATACCAATTTTAATGTCACAAACCAAACATTTAACAAGAACATAATCATTGCATTACAATCTCTGCANCCCAAGGTATTGGAACCAGTCCAAGCTCAACCTGCCTAACGATTGTGTTGGTTCATGGAAGGCTGCACCAGACTGGATTTCACTTTTAACTTTGTATTATCTAATAAGTTGTATTTCATCGTAAAATATGAAGATCAAAAAAACCTGTGTTAAGAGATAAATAAAAGCTTAAACTAAAACAACATTTTCATTAATACACTGATTGTTGAAATTCCAAAGACTTCCCAAGTATATCATCTCCTTATTTAGGGATGCAACCTCCAATCATTAGAAAATGAAGCTATAGTACATTTCTACTGTGAGCAATTAAGCTCAGCTAGTGCTCTGGAACAAGCTCCTCATATCAATGTTAGCCACATTATATTCAGACTTTGTATGCCAAACAGTAAAAGAAAAACAGAACAACTAAACCTAGAGTAGACCCTCAAGAATAGAACAATCTTTTGAAGGAGGGGTCGGCCCAACTTTGGGCGTCAACTCCTCGAGTTCCTTCCTCACTGAACCAAGCTCCTGGTTTAGTAGCCCAAGGGTGAACTGTGTTTCATCAATTCTGTGGGCAAGCGTATGTTGGTGCTGAATTAACTTCTCCATTTTCAAGACACCATCAATTTGTGCTAAACGGGTTTCAATCCAGCTAATATCGATACCAATAAACTTCAAGTCCACAAGATATTGCTTAATGACCTGGAACTGGTTCCTATTGTCCATGCTTCCTATTCTGGATTTCTCAAGCAAATCTACTAACTTGGCCAACATCTCCAAGTACACTGACTGCAGCGCACCAGTTATTGCTTTGAAGCCAGAGATAGTACTGGGGTAACGCATAATGACTCTACTGAGTATAGGAACATATCGTTGGGCCACTTGGTAACCTGCCCACGAGACTTGCTCGTTACCACAACCAGGTCCCTCAGTGGGAAGCTGCCTCGGGGTAGAATAAGTGCACATCACTTGTAAGGTGTCAGTTGGCTGCAAGGTTGAAGTCGACGCAGAAGGTTCTGGTATAGGCTGCTGTGGATAGGTAGTGAAACTCTCCCTCTGGGATTCCGGCCACCCCTCAAAATCTAAGACAAGAGGAGTAGTATATCAACACAACTTGAATTATTTAAAAAATAATAATAATGGAGTAGATTACAAAGGCATTTTGCATACTTTGGACGGTAGAAGCAACTCCTACACAATTCCCATTTGGCTCTGGTGTATTCTCCAGAAAGAGAGGGTGTGCAGCTAAGAAGATGTCACTGAATACATCACAATCAAGGTCATCGACGGAGGCCTGGTTAGTGCATAGACCATTGGAAGCAATCTGAGCTGAATTTTGGTTTGATGGTTTCGCTCTATTTGGTTCAAGATATTTGTTCAAGCTTAAAATGAATCTGCTTTTCCTGGAAATATTACAAACAAGCAAATCTAAGAATAGGCATTCAGTAATAAGGTATCTCCATTTGACAAATTGACAAGTATGTTATACCGTGGCTGATAATAGACAGAAAAGAGACTTCCCGTTGCAAAAGCATGGGAGACCACTGCAAGCACTCCTTGAACGGTTTGACTTGAAACTGGTGATGAACCAATGTTGTGTCTTCGATGAGCTTGACGTCTAACCCCAACACAAAGTTCACCATTTCCTCCCCTTGAAGCAGGATATAACAGATTTATAAGGTTAATATGAGAGATTTGGCTGGATTGGTATGCTTTATTCATAGAGGAAAAATCGTAACACATAACAATTGATTAGGAGACATATACACTAAACAATTACCTTAAGAAGATAACTGAATCCCCAGCAACTAATTTCTTACTAGCAACAAATTTACTCCAACCTTTTGTAAGCAAATGTCTTCGAGGTTGGCCTGAGATGTTATTAGAAATGAATTTGTTGCGTACAGAAAATCACAATGCAAAGTGTCAACTTGTTTATGTAACTCTAGTGTTTGGTTATAGATCAAAAAAGGAAGAAAAATAGAGCCTCATACAGAAACTCGTGTGGTAACAGTACACTAAGTGTTCCAGTTTGCCTTCAACTCCGTGAACCTTGGTCTAAAGTAAGGTGCAGAAGAAGTATTACCTCGAAATACATGACAAAATCGCCATTCGGAGCCATTAAGGTCTTTTACTATCAATTCCTGGATTGGTTTCTGCTTGGTAATGTCCTAATTAAAGAACCACGCAGTGCAAGAAAATCAACTAAAAGAAACTAAATAATCTAAAGCACAAAGTTCTTTGAAGATAAACATTACCAGGGGAGGAAAACATTTTATGGCATCTTCTCGTCGCACAGTGAGTCCCCAGTTACTATTGGTATCAGAAGCAGTCAAAACCTTGCAGAATGACTGAAATTGCAAATTAAAAGGCTGAGGAGACCAAGCATCAGGAGTTGTTTGGTCACTTTGCTGCAAGTAGTTGCGACCTAACAGTGAGACTAACTTTCATCTTCGTATAAATTCTCTTAAAAGGTAATATAACCAAGTTCTCACATTTTCTTCTGGGAGTAAAGTAATGTGTGCGTAAACCTCATCAGTATCAGGTTCCACCTAAAAAGGAAAAAGTAGTTGCCATAATCAGTTGCGCCCACATTCCATAAGCGAAAGAAAAAGAAAAAGCAATTTGGCAAACCCAAGGATGTATTATCTTTTTGTCCTAATGGAGCAGGACTGATAGGCTATACGTATATCCCTGTTATATTTTGATGATCTAACAAACTTACTGTCAAGAACCAGATAAGGAAGCTGTTACACATTCTCAAGACCTTAAGATCAAAAGGTTCCAGCTTGGGATATGGTTCAACTCTTCAGAGTCAAAGGAACAATAGAGGGAACAGATAGCTACCGTTTCCCGAGGATACTGCACAAGTCAACTGCCCCAGCTGTAAAGTTGTTGCATGCACACGCTACAGTGCAGAAACAATGCAGCAGTCAACTTTATGGGGAGTGTCTTTTACCTACCTTACTTACATCATCCTAGTGATGTCACAAATGCATTATTAACATCAAGGAAGATAAAACAAATTACTTGCACATTCAAGAATCGATCAAGCAATTTTTCTCAAGTCTGTGCCAATCTTGCAAGTGATTCTCAAGGGCATCAAGAACAAAAAATAACATAACGAAGGACCAGTTTCATGTATTGAGTCATTACATGTCCTTAGTTGTGTTGCACCTTTGTTAAAGTTCTTTACTTGTAATTCCTACTTAGTTTTGTTAGAAGTATTGTGTAGGAAATCTTTGTAAATCATAAACCCTTGTGTTTGTGTCTTGGATAGAGTTAGTCGAGTTATAAAGTCTTTGTAATAGAGTTATTACAAAGTGGCTTGTAATAGAGTTATTACAAGTTAGTGAGGGATTAAGAGGTTATTTCCCAAGTTACAATAGGTTGTAATCTAAAGTTTACTCAGTAGTGAAGTTGAAATCCTACAAGGGTAAGTCGTGGTTTTTAATCCCGTGAGCTGGGAGTTTTTCACGTAAAACTTCTTTGTCTCATTTACCTACTGCAGTGTGCGTGTGTTCTGTGGGAACTTATAGAGAACCTGGTTCTCTATACAGTTTGGTGGACCCTTAGTTTCTATCATTTGGTATGAGAGCAGGTTCTTTCTATCAGGCTAACACCTAGAAAGGATCCTCATGGCTATTCCACCAAACTTTGAAGAAGGTCAATCTACCTACAGGCCACCAAGATTCAATGGCCAATACTATGGATGGTGGAAGACAAGGATACACGACTTCATCATAGCTGAAGACTCAGAGCTCTAGGACGTCATCTGCAATGGACCCTTCGTCCCTACAAAAACCAGTGGTGACCCAGCAGTAACAGTTTCCAAAACAAGAAAAGAATTCAATGATGTTGATCACAAGGCTATAGAGAAGAACTTTCGAGCAAAGAAAATTCTTGTCTGTGGTATTGGTCCTGATGAATATAACAGGATTTCAGCATGCCAATCTGCTAAGGAGATCTGGGAAGCTCTCCAAACAGCTCATGAAGGGACAACCCAAGTTAAGCAATCAAAGATCGACATGCTTACCACAGAATACGAGCTTTTCAGGATGAAAGACGATGAGTCCATCCAAGACATGCATACTCGGTTCACCTTCATCATCAATGAGCTTCACTCACTGGGAGAAATCATTCCCAGGAACAAACTTGTCAGGAAAATACTTTATTACTGTAACGACCTGGCTGGTCGTTTTGACTATTGCAATCTCGTTCCCCCATTTACTGCTCAAATTGTGAATTAAAGTTGTTATTTGGCTTGCCGGGGTAATTGGTTTGGGTCCGGTGAGGTTTTGAAATGATTTGGAGCACTTAGTTCCAAGGTTTAAAATCTAAGTTGAAAAGGTTGACCGGATGTTGACTTATGTGTAACGACCCCGGAGAAATTTTGCTAAGGAAATTAAGGTTTGGTGGTGCCGAGGTAGATCAATTAGTACAAAGATTATAGAAATTTCTCGCGGCGGACTTTTTGGGTTGAACAATGCACCGATGGTTAAAGGAAAATTTTGTTGGAAAAAGGGTCATTTCTGCGACCACTATGCGGTCGCAGAATCACTCTGCGGACCGCATAATGGTCGCAAAGTGGATCAGGAAAGGGGCAAGATTTGAGGAAAATCTGCGGTGCACTATGTGACCGCAGACCTGTTTTACGGTGCATTATGCGACCGCAGAACAAGTATGCGGGCCGCATAATGACCGCAGACCGGGTCAGTAACGCCCAGCTTTGGAGGCCAAATTATGCGTCCGGTATGCGGACCGCATACCTGTTATGCGATCGCATAACTGCGTCGGAACTTCCATTCTTTCTAAATTTTGACCTGACCCAACTTCGATTTATAGCCCTTGAAGCTCATTTTTGAGCCAAAATCTGACATTTTAGAGAGAGGTGAGAGCATTTTAGAGAGAGAAAGCGAAGACTTAGTCATTTATCCATCAATTCCTGTTCAAGGTTTGAAGATTTCACAAGGATCTTGCTAGGGCTTCAAAGAGGTAAGAATTTCTTTCCCTAATTTTTCAATTTCGGGTTTGGAGTAAAGATGGGTGAATAATAGTATGATTTTTGGGTGTAAGAGTAAAGATTATTAAGTTCAAATGGGTAAAGATTGGGTTGAAAATGGTAGAAATCTTCATAGACTTTAATTAAAGATTTGAGGGTCAAGTTGATATCGGAATTTGGTGAAATTTGTACGGTTGGACTCGTGGTTGGATGAGCGTTCATACTTTGTAACTTTTGTCGGGTTCCGAGGCGTAGGCCCCATAGGCGATTTTTGAGTTAATTTCGGATTTTATTGGAAAAATTAGTATTTCCTTTTGGAATTAATTACAATAATTGGTATTGACTGAATCGAATTAATTGTGGCTTGATACGAGGCTTTCGGAGTCAAATTCTCGCGGCAAGAGCATAGCGGAATAAAGAATTACACGGTTTGAGGTAAGTAACGATTGTAAATCTAGTCCTGAGGGTATGAAACCCCGAATTTCATATCATTCTACTATTTTGAGGTGACGCACATGCTAGGTGACGGGCGTGTGGGCGTGCACTGTTGGGGATTGTGACTTGCTCCGTCCCGTAGCAACTGTAAAGTTGCATATTTTGTTGAAATTACATGATACTTATATGTTTTAGAAAGAGTTCTGTAAATTGGGTTGAATGCCATGTTTAGGCCTTGTGTCGATGTTGTTTGGACCCTTAGGGGCCTTTTCTTACTATCCCCTCACTATTTTCGATTGAAAGTTTATACTCAGTCATGGTTATACCTGTTTACTGCATAACTCAGTTTTCCTTACTCTATTTTGATGCATATAAATATTGTTTTGGGCTGAGTACCCNTGTTTATACTTGTTTTGGGCCGAATGCCCTATTTTACTAAAATGCCCGAGTGGCTTGAGAGGTTTATGACTGAGTGAAGCCGAGGGCCTGATTTGTGAGGATATTTATGGGATCGGGCTGCACGCCGCAGCATGTTCGATATAGGCCGAGGGCCTGGGTGATTTATGCCATGATTTGGCTTGATATAGCTCTTGGGCTGAAGGAGCCCCTCCGGAGTCTGCACACATACCCAGTGAGCGCAGGTACCTACTGAGTGCCGAGTGGTGAGTGACTGAGAGGCATGAGTGATTGTGAGGTATGCCCGAGTGGCATGATTGATTGTGAGGTATGCCCGAGAGGCATGAGTGACTGTGAGGTTTGCCCGAGAGGCTGTATACGAGTGATTGTGAGGTATGCCCGAGGGGCTGTTGTTTATGATTTCATCATTTTT